AGGAAGTTCAAGACAACGAGGATGAAAGGCCATTTACAAATCAGGATTTGATTGCTTTATCCAGACAGAGACATGAGTCTGGTTGGAGCTAACATGCTGGGCCGAGTACACGGTCTTCTAATTGTTCGCGTGTAGTTCCTGATGATGAAGATTTACATGTCGATCAATTGTTTGACACGAAAAGAGATTTGCAAGAAGCCGCGCACCGAATTGCAATGAAACATAATTTTGAGTTTAAGGTAAAAAAATCAAATAAGTCTACATACACAATTATTTGTGTGGACAACAATTGCAGTTGGCGTTTGAGTGCGACAAAGATGGACACAAATGAGTTCTTTGTTGTTCGTAAGTATGCGCGGGAACATACTTGTGAAGTGGGTATTCGTCAAAATGATCACAGGCAAGCTCGATCATGGTTTATTGGTCGACAGATAATGCACAAGTTTCAGGATCCACGGACGATTTACAGACCTACAGATATCCTCAACGACATCCGTCGAGAGCATGGGGTGGTTATGAGTTACCAGAAGGCCTGGAAGGCTAAAGAATGTGCATTGGAAGATTTAATGGGTTCGGCAGAGGAGAGTTATGCCAAATTGGCCAGGTATTGCCACAACATGGTGAGAACTAATTCTGACTCGACGTTTTTTATTGAAACCGATGGGCAGAATCGCTTCAAGTATTTTTTTATGGCTCTTGGACAATGCATTAGAGGTTTTCGAAATGCTATGCGACCTCTAATTCTAGTTGATGGTACAACCCTAAGAGCTAGATATGAAGGAAAGTTGATTATTGCTACTTGTCAAGATGCCAATATCCAAATTTACCCTCTTGCATTTGGCATTGTCGATGGAGAGAATGATCTAGCAATGCGTTGGTTCTTCACGAAGTTGAGAGAAGTAATTGGGAACATCGAGAACCTTGCATTTGTGACTGACCGGGGGCAGTCAATAATAAATGGTATAGCCGAAGTTTTTCCAGAAGAACATCATGGTTATTGCATGTACCACATTCAAGGCAATCTGAAGACTAGGTACCGGGGCAGTGGCGTCGTTGCATTGTTTAGGAGAGCTGCAGAAGCTTACAGCTTTGAAGAGTTTACAAAGTTCATGGGCGAAATAGAACATAAATCAGAAAGTGCATGGGAATATCTATCAGAAATGGGGGTCGAACATTGGGCACGGTCACATTTTCCAGGACGTCGATACAACATGATGACGTCGAATAATGCGGAGTCGCTGAATGCATTATTCAAGAAGGATCGAGAGTTACCGATTCTCGCAATGATAGAACATATTCGCAGCAAGTTGCAACAGTGGTTTTATGACCGACGTGAAGAATCCCAAAATTGCACGAGTGTGCTAGCTCCGGCACAGGAAGATCGACTATTCAAAACTCTGGAAGTGGCAAAAGCTCTATCTGTGGAACCACTAGATCAATTTCACTTCTCCGTAAGATGCGGGCGCAATGTTGGATACATTGTAGACTTGAATGACAATACCTGCACGTGCAGAAAATTTCAGTTGGAAAGTTTTCCATGTGCACATGCTGTCGCAGTGGCTATGTATAGAGGATTTCCACCACACA